CACACCCAAACATGGTCGCTTAGCAAGTTTGCTAGCTAGTAAGCTATCTGGCTAGTTCACTTCATCTCCAGAAATAACGTTACCGTTCCTGGATTAACGGACGTCTACAAATCGATGCTGTTTGTAGCTCTAGTGATTTCTTTCAAAGGCTTTATGGTGGTCAGAGTGCTAGTAAAATGGCCGGCTAACTCTAGGCTAGTTTCAGGATTGTGTGGACAGTAAAGCGCCATCACCATGGTGAGTAATCTATCGACAATATATGCTGTCTAACGTTACTGGTTTAGGTTGGTTATTAAGTTCATAATAAAATGTTCTGAGCAAGCAAGCATAATTGTTCTTATTTTTACTTGTTACGTTTGCTGGTGTCATGAGTATTACTTTTTGAGCTATATCTTGTAGCTTTATTTATTCCTAGTTTTAATTATTATAATGAAACTAAATTCATTTTAGGGCTCCTTTGTTATTGTAGTAGCTAGCTAACCATGTAAAATAGACTCTACTAATATTAGTCAACCTCCCTATTAGTTCTCTATAAAAATATTTAGCATCAAATAGTCTGCAGCAGTGATCTCGCCTAGTTGGGTAGCTTGAATTCTTCTAAGCGCTGCACATTAGAGGAAAAGATAGTACTTTAATGATCTCCTGAGAAATGAATCAGCACTGCTGTTTTCAAGATTGATAATAAATGTTTCTTGAGCAGCAAATCAGCATATTAGAATCATGTGACACGAAAATTCAGCTTTACCATCACAGGAGTAAATCACATTTTAAAATATATATTCAAATTGAAAACAGTTATTTTAAATGACATTGATAATATTTAACTATTTTTCATTAATTTCGACAAAATAAATGCAGACTAAGGGATTTCTTTCAAAAATATTAAATGATAATAGCCAATGATAAAACATGTGCACAATATATATGCTTAGGATCAAATAAAAAGAGTGTTTTGTTCTAAATGAGAGGATGAAAAATGAAAAGATATGTCCATGAATAATTACAAACCAGAGTAAATATGTATGTACATGTACGTGATAATGAAATTATCTGAACTATTGTACATACTGATAGCAGCAAACTCTTGTTTCTGTTCTGAAGCTCTTGTCTCGGATGAAACCAGCAGTGGGTGGTGAAGCATCCACCAGCTCTAATGAGAAGAAGAGGAAAAATAAAGCGAAGAAGATTCCAAGACTTGAGGATTATCTAAACCAAAGAGACTATCTGGGAGCCCTGACCCTATTAGAGGTACAAAACAAACACATGAGACCTACGATTACATCTCTATGATATTTGCATGAACTTACTTCAAACTCTATGATGTCAGTTTCAGCGTAATGGCGGGCTGTCAGTGGAGCATGCAGACCTTTGGATTGGCTTCTGCGCCTTTCATTTGGGAGACCACAAGAGAGCAATGGAGGTTAGTTGTTAGATTCTGCAGACACCAGGATGTTGGATCCAGTCAGTTTATGCTTGGTCAGGGGATAAATCACCTTTAAAGAGTGATGGTGTGGGACATTATGGCTGATTGTCATTTGAAATTGGTTTGTTATTTGTTGTATGTAACATGAAAACTTCGTACTTGTTACATATATTCAGGAGTACAAAGCTCTCACTTTGAGGCCGGAGTGTCCAGTGGAAGTTTGGGTGTATCTGGGCTGTTTGCTCTTTTTCCTGGGGCTTTATAAAGAGGCCGAGGAGGCGGCATTAAAAGGTTTGTCTTCACATACTATACACTGTTCTGTAAGATGTTTTTGAAAGAAGTCTCTCATGCTCACCAAGGCTGTATTTATTTATTTTTTTAATCAAAAATACAGTAAAATCAGTAATATAACAATTCTAAATAATCGTCACATTATCCTTCAGAAATCATTCTAATATGCTGATTTGGTG